ATGAGAGAGGATTCTGCCACTCTAGGCCAGGGGTTGTATCTGGTGTCACTGAAATGCGTTGCTATGGAGGAATAGACTTTGTGAACGTGTTCATCTTCTCTTGTCTCTGGATCACCACTGGTGGCCATTACAAAGCACGTGTCTTGGGCGTGGTCGATCATTGCATGATCGATCACGCCCATTCTTAATTAATTTAATTAACAAAATTAAAATTAGTTTTATAGGTCATCGATCGAAGAGAACCGAACTTGAGGAGAGAAAAGGAGAGAAAGAACATGGACACGAGTTCATCTCCTACTGCTCCCGCCATTCTCATCCCTGCTTCACCTGGAGAGGGTGCAGAAGAAAAGGACAATGGTACCGATACTACTTTCCCTGTCCCCTTCACCAACTCTTTTGTGTCCCCTCCTCTTTCTTCCTCTCTTTTTCTAGACCCAAGCATGACTCTTCTAAGCACCAGCCCTACGCCTCAAGGAGAGTTGGCCCTAGCTGGAGAGCTGGGAACGACGGACAAGCTTATTTTCGAAGCAAAGAAGCATCCGTCAGACACTCTGAGGTCGATGCAAGAACTGAGGGACGAGGAGAAGCTTTGCGATGTCACACTTCTCGTGCAAGGAGTCGAGATTAAGGCGCACAAGATAGTTCTAGCTGCCAGCAGTCATTATTTCAGGTATCGTATTGTGATGTTGTAACGAGATGTATGTAGTTGCATTAGTTTTAGACTTAGTTTATACACCTCCTTCTTTTCCCTTCACTACATGTACTCTGATAGGCGATTTTAATACCAATGTCATGCTAACATTCAGCAAGTTAGCACAAGTAGTCGTGTCATCTCTCACATTCATTTTATGACAGCTGCACTTTTGAAACTTCCCGAGGCAGCCTCTGCTTCTCTGAGTTGCCAATCAACACTAAGAGTTTAGGAGAAAGTCAGCCATATTTGCTAAGAGTGTTGATGAGATTCCAGCAACTACAGCAATTATTAGGCCCAGGGCAGTATTAATGGCTTTATAATGAAATGTACTTAAACATATCGGTTATGTACCGTGACATTTTTTTGGTAGATTTTGTGTATAAAATTGCATGTATGTACATGTACATGTACATATTTTTCTCGTGTTTTTTCTTCAGGTCAATGTTTGCTGGCGACATGATCGAGAGTCGTAGCTCAAGCGTAGAACTAAAAGACGTCGAACCCGACGCCATATCGCTCCTAGTTGAGTACTCTTACACCTCACAGCTTGAAATAACCTCCAACAACGTCCAGTCAGTAATGGCCGCTGCATCTATCTTTGACTTTCCTTTCGTCCTCGAGGCGACGGCGAAATTCCTTGCAACCCACCTCCATCCTTCAAACTGTCTTGGCATGAGAGCGTTTGGCCGTACGTACGGGAGCGAAGCTCTTGTTAATGCTGCCTCGCGTCACTTTAGAAATCATTTCACTGACGCTATCAAGAGCGAGGAATTTCTCCAACTTCCCCCGGAGGTTTTTTCCGAGTTATTGGACAGCGACGAGGTGAATGTGAGGACGGAGGAGGACATATTCAGGTCACTGGAACTATGGTTGAACTACGAGCCTGAGTCACGTAAAGACAGCTTACCCAAAGTATGTGCTTAAGATTATACTAAGATCTATAATGAACGTACATGTACACGTATACACATGTAGTATCATCGAAGAATTATCTTAAATTAATTGTTGCATTAACTTCTAATTGAAATGAAATTTAATTAGCAATAGCTGCATGCGCAAATGTAACTCACTTTCTTCCATATGCTACAGCTACTATATATTTTGATTTATAATAATAATAAATATGCAATCACTCTGAGCTATGTGGCCAACACCTTCTGTGTGTAATTGGCAGTGACATTTGGAATAAAAACTTACTCACCAATCCTTTCTGCTGCACTATAACATGTTCCCACTTACAGCTGTCTTACATTTCATTGCTGTTTATCATTCCACCTGCTCGTGATAAGGGATTGGATGATTAAGCAGGTTTAATTTCCCTGTAATTTGATTTAGAAATTCTCTCTTTTTCTATGTCTGTGTATAGTGTAGCCCATGGTATGTTTGTTTTTAATTACCTTTTCATTTGATATCATTTCTTTCTCTCTCAGTTACTCAACCACATCCGTCTTCCTTTGCTACCTCTAAATTTCCTCAAATATCGAGTCGAGTCGAATCCTTACATCAAGAGGAGTCTTGATTGTCGGGATCTCATCGATGAAGCGAAAAACTACCACCTCTTTCCCGATGACTATTCGCAAATCAAAGGAACCCAATTTCACCCACGGAAGTCGACAGTCGGAGTTCTCTTTGCTATTGGTGGGCGTGGTGCTGTAGGGGAGCCTTTCTGTAGCGTGGAGTGTTATAATTTC